AATCCGAAACAATATGTGTTGTAATTAACACAGTAATATAAATTTTGATAATATGATTTTATATGATTTAATAAAATTATTTAATTTTAATAAAAATTATATTTTTTGTTCTTTTCATGCAATGTCTCAAAAACGATGGTCTCACAGACATTACAAACGTGATGATATTCATTGAAACGTCTCTACAACATAACTGAAACTTTCTATGCTATTAGGACAATATTGGATTTTCAATAAAATTTGATTTATATCCAAAATTAGCTGTATATTGGCGCAATCATGGCATGCAATATTGGCTATATATTTTTACCCAATATTGGCTATATATTGGGATACAGTGGCCAATGTCATTCCAATATATAACCAACATTTGTGCATGCACGGCCTCCCATATTGGCGATCCATTTGTTGCTAATATGCGCTGTACGTTGGCTTAATCATAACAGCCAATGTTGGATTTTCATTATAATTTTTTGTTTATTCAATACTGGCTGCACATTGGCGCAATCATGTCATACAATTTTGGCTATATATTTTTAGCCATTATTGGCTATATATTGAAATACATTGGTATTATCCCAATATTATCCCAACATATAACCAATATTAGCGCAAGCATGGCCCTCTATATTGGCGATTTATTTGTTGCCAATATGAGCTGTACTTGGACTTAGTCATGGCGCTTAATATTGGCTTTTCATTATAATTTTTTGTTTATCCAATAAACAAAATTTTTTGTTTATCCAAATGGTTGCACATTGGCGCAATCATGGTATGCAATATTGGCTATATATTTTTAGCTAATATTGGCTATATATTAGAATACATTGGCTAATGTCATTCCAATATATAACTATTATTGGTGCAAGCATGGCCCCCCATATTGGCGATCCATTTGTTGCCAATATGGGCGATATATTGGATATACATTGGCCAATGTAACCCCAATGTATACCAATATTACCAACGTAAAACCAATTCAATGCCAATGAAGTGTGCTATTAGAGGAAATAGGTTATTGTAGCAAGGAAAACGTAGCTGACATAGCGAATTACATTTAATTATCCATATATCCATATTATCCATATATATCCATATGTAATTTGTTTGCTGCTGCAGCAAATTCTTTTTTTCCATGTATTACATTATAGGTATTTATCTTCGAACATAGAATGTACCATATAATTATGACTAAACTTCATCTGCTTATAACGATTTCGTTTAATCAATAAAATCTTAAGAGTTTAGATTGCGTCATAATGAGTTCCAGATATAGAGTAAATAAAAACAATAAAATGTGCAAAGTGAGGATAATTATTACTGTAATGAGTGCGAACTAATGTTTCTGTGTCAATGTATAACTATTGCGCTGACACACGCGCGTATATACAGCTCCAAATTACTACTTCTATTTTTTTGTTATCAAGTTCATTTCAACCGTGTTGCTTGCCAGTTACAGAAGTAACCAGTTACTGAGTAGCATCAGATGTGGAAGATTCCGTGTTGGATGCTTCGCAGGAATATATATCGATATATTGGATTGTGAAAACTCAAAGTCAATTTTTTGAAAAAATGTAAAGACGATATTTGTATACGTGGAATATTCTTATATCTTCTTTGTGTATATAGAGTGTCTGTCATAAGTCTTACAAAGCTATATGTGAAGATAAAGCACGCTGAAAAAAGAACCTGAACAAAAGAACCTTTGGCATTTTATAAACAATTAAAATTTCGAGAAACCGATTTCGAGAACCGACTTGGAGAAACAATTGTTGGGAACGCTTAATACAAAAAAGTTTTGACAATAATATTAGCATTTATATACTTAATAAAAAATATTAACGAACTAGCCTACGCAATATTCTGGGACAAGTTCTGTTAGCGCGAGATATCATCAAAATCGTTTGAAATGTGATTGTTTGTTTGTCACACGCTCGCCATACATCTAAAAACAATTATTACCACGCTGTTCGCATCCTTACTCTGCCTTGAGATATCAGACGATATCCGTCTATGCTAACGCTTGCGAAAACAATCACTCTACTCTCCGTGTCCACGTAATTCTAACGACGGTTACTCTGCCACTACTCGAGTGCGCCTAACGTCACCATACGGGTCCCACAGAATTATATTCAACGCGCGGTAAATCATTTTACGTTTACGGAACTACAGTAGGTTTCGATCGAACAGCCCTACACTCGGCCATTCTGCGCTAACATTCGTCCCGAATATCTGATCCTGGGGACTGGGCACTCTTCCTTTGACTCATCCGATTCTTCACAACAGTCTGGATAATCGCTGTCATATTCCAGCCAAGGCTTGATGAAGTCTACGGCTGTGGACGTTTCTGCTGGCCCCGTGTTCTCCTACAACATAGCAGTCCTTACCTAAAGTCCGAACTATCTCATAAGATCCGAGATATTGATGGGCAAACTTAAGTTCTGGTCCTTTTTGCGTTCGTCGAATTGCGAAATCGCCTTCTTTATATTTTTCAGGTTTTTTTCGCTTGTTATCGTATTCTTTTCGATTCTCTTGTTGAATTTTTTGGATATTCTCAAGTGCTTGCTCCCGCAAATCATTTCTTTCTTCTTCGTCAAATTCACGCGCAATTTCTTCGAACAGTAATTTCTGGATTCTCTTCCAGACGTGGTCATACTCTGAATAATGATTTAAAGGGTGTTGTTCCTGTAGATCGACTAGAAGTTGTGTTAATACACTGCTGAACTCGTGACAAATATTTGAACCATTCATGTGACTTAGGCGCCGATAATTTAGTCAGCAACGGAATGATAACTCGATTCAATCTCTCGACTTGGCCATTTGCTCTAGGTATTCCTGTCGTCAGAAAATGCCTCTATATGTTTTCTTGTCTGCAATAATCCCCGAATTCGTGAGACGTAAATGCGCTCCCACGATCTGAAACAATGCGATGAGGATTGCCAAGAATAACAGCTTGCTTTCGCGAATGTGCGATCACTTCCGCAGCATTGATTGCTTAGTAGAATATAACTAGATGAACTTTGTGAACGCATCAATAACCACAAACAGCTGCCAATATCTTTTTTAGTCGTTGGTAGAGGACCCATGTGATCCATATGGTAGGTATCTAATTGCAGGCTACCCCTTTCTAAGGAATTGAGGAAGTCTTTCTGCTTGCCCTATCTTTTCTTGGCTAAAATGTATGAGATGCAATTACGTATCTCTCTTTATGCTTACTACTCACAAACGGAGGAAGATTAGGCTCAACATCCTCTGTTACTTGAATATTCAACACTTCAGGCTGTTCTTCAAATGGGATGATACATACATCACCACTTTTAATGTTCAACTCGACTTGTTTTATAAAATCCGTACCGAGCAACAGATCATACAACACTAATCCCTCCAGGATTACATGAACGCAAATTGAATAAGTATGATCATCAACTTCTATCGTAATTTTTACGAAACCTAACGTTTTATTATCTTTAGCGCCTACTCCGCAAAAGATAACGGATTCTCGTGTGAGTGAAGGTAAATTTAACTCATAATATTTTGCTCCACTTAATAAGCTAATGTCGCTACCTGTATCTAACAAAGCACAGATTTTGGTACCGCTTAACAAAGCTTCCTTGGTACAAATTCTATTTATCGATTGCGAAGTGACACAATTATTCTTAGCAATATTGTTTTTCTTTGGACATCTCGATGCAACGTGTCCTCGCTCACTACATTCAAAACATCTTACTCCTTCCGCTTTTGATGAACAATCAGTTCCTAGGTAAGAGCGTTCTCCACAATTGAAGCAACGCCTCGTCATTTTTCGTCGACCACCCTCACACTGAATCTCTGTTGACTTAGATTTAGTCCCGCTGGTTCCTTGACTAAAGCTGCGTCTCTCCTACTTAGTTGAGCCACTTGTGCTACTCGGCCGATCATTCAATGTTATTTTTTGGAACGCCTGAAGTAACTTGTCTGGATTAGCAAAGGATACGTGCTTGATCTCGTAAATGTACATCAGGAATCCCCTCAATGATGTACTTTAACATCTCGTCACCTGAAATAAATATTTGAATATGTAAATGTAGAATGATTAATGTAGAATAACGACTTTTCCAAATTTTGATATTTTTTTGCTGCAATGTTGATAAATATCTTTGTTGTTATTCCAACATTGATAATCAAATAAGGAAGTCTGAAAAATATGTAAACTATCTATGTTTTTAACTATTTTTTCTAACATATGCCTATACGTAGAATATCGTATCCCTTAAAGTTTAAGACCGAAATTGCAACAAAGTACTGAAAAGATTAAAATTTATTTATTAGTAACAAACACTACATTATTTGTAATATAATAAAATAATTTTTACAAAAATAAACATTGAGTTTTTGTGTAAATTGGAAACCAGATCTTCAAATTGTACATTAAGTTTTTAAATCGTATTTCAAAGATATGCAGTCATAAACAATAAAGAAGTATTAATTAATTATTAATTAATTCCATATTACATTAATATAACAATAAAATAAAACAGAAATAAAAGCACGCATGTAATGTTACTAGTATCATCTATTTTGCTATTGAGTTGTTGGAAAAGTCATGATGCATTTTTGCAACAGATGACGCTAGTTCATTGTTGGAAGTACTAGAGTCATTCGCATCTATGTTATTGCTATGTCATTTGACAGCTGATAGTTCTAGTTTCATTCTAAAAAAAAATTGAGCGATTTGGTTGAGTTTTAAAGATTTTATAACAAGTTGAAGATGGAAGACCAAACTATACATTTTCGTCATATTTTACTGTTTTACTTCTGTAAAGGGAGGAACGCGCGTCAAGCTTGTAAAAAATTGCGTAAAGTTTACGATGACAATGCTGTACAAGAATGTCAGTGCCAACGATGATTCATGAAATTTCGTGCTGGTGATTTTGATCTCAAAGGCGCTCCTCGGTCAGAGAGACTTATCGAGGTTGATGACGACAAAATAAAGGCATTAATCGAGTCAAACCCACGTTACACGACAAGAGAGATTGCAGAAACATTGAACATCCATCATTCAAGCGTTCACGACCATTTGAAGAAACTGGGATACGTCAGCAAGCTTGATATTTAGGTTCCTCATGAACTCAAAGAAGTTCATTTGACGGCGCGTATAAACATCTGCGATATGTTCATTAAACGTGAGAAAAACAATCCTTTTTTGAAGCGACTGATAACTGGTGATGAGAAGTAGATTGTTTACAACAATGTGGTGCGCAAACGGTCTTGGTCCCGACGTGATGATTTGCCTCAAGCGACATCAAAAGCAAACATTCATTAGAGGAAGGTTATGCTCTCAATGTAATGGGATTTTAAAGGTGTTGTGTTTTTGAGCTTCTACCAAGGAACCAAGGAATCAATTCGAATGTGTACTGTCAGTAATTGGACAGTTTAAACGAATCCATCATCCAGAAACGTCCAGAGCTCATTAATCGTAAAGGAGTTGTGTTCCATCACGACAACGCGAGACCACACACAAGTTTGATCACCCGTCAAAAATTATTGGAGCTTGGATGGGATGTGTTGCCACACCTACCATACTCATCTGACCTTGCGCCGTCAGACTTCCACTTGTTTCGCTCTCTTCAAAACTCCTTGCGTGGTATAACGTTCAATTCAGATGAGGCTATAAATCAGCACCCTGTTCAATTTTTCGCCGATAAAGACATATTCTTCTATGAACGAGGAATTATTAAGCTCACTGAAAGATGGCAAAAGGTTATCGAACAAAACGGACAATATATCATTGATTGATCTTTGTTCTTTATATAAATAAATGACCTTTGAAGAACATAGAGAAAATACGTCATAACTTTTCCGACAATCCAATACATAACATAAATATAGTTTTAACAACATGTTTCAACAACATTTTTAATCGATTTGACTAATTCTTTTATTATGAATCATACGTGTTTCATTTGTCACCGCGGTTTCTTTCATCATCGCGGTTTAATTTGTTATCGACCGCTATGATTTAAAAAAATCTGAAGATTTTAGCCGTCGCTCGTTGTTTGTTAAAAAGTTATTAACAAAAAAAGTTGTATGAATGTAACGTAATTTTTCAAGACAGTTCTATAAAATACACACTTTTCCTTTCACTTTTGTGAGAAATTCTCACTCTTTAGCTTAAGTACAACAGAATTGGCCTCCTCCCGTCGCGGTGCGGGAGGTCTGGGGAGCTACGCCCCCCAGTTACACGGCTAGAGACAGGCATCTTTTTTATTAATATCTAGGAAACTATAAGCGATTGCCATATAGTTATGTTTATATTATTGAAATATGGTAAAAAATAAAAAAGGTGCCTGTCCCTAGCCATGTAACTGGGGAGTTAGACCCCCCGCCACGCGGCGGGAGGAGCGTATATCTGTTGTACTTTAGCTAAAGTTGCATAACTTAAAGTTTAACAATCGCAAATTAAAATGGAAGTGCCAAAAACCCCGAAAAGCTACGAAAAAAGCTAGGAAAAAATAATTAAAAACATTAAAAGGTTACGTACTTTTTAACTCTCCCATCAATTATTATCAATGTTAGAATAACAACAAAGATGTTTATCCAGATTGCAGCAAAAAAATATCAAAATTCGGAAAAGTCCTCATTCTACATAATTACCCTCGATCTTTCTTTTAGCTAATGCCAACTCTTTCTCAATAAGCTCTCTTTCTCTTTCTCTTTTCGATATACTTCATTCTTTTTTCGAAACATATCCGCAATCATAGAGTCTATCGTTATGGTACTCACTGATTCAGCAGCTCCTCCCACTGCTGCGTCTGCATCCTCCGATTTTTCAAAACCGCTCTCAACGTTAACTTTTTCCGCCGCCATTGTCCATTCGCTGTTGTTATCTGCGGTTCGCAACCGAATTAAAGCTCTGCTTTAGACCTAGCTGTCGAAAGTTTCTCAAAAATGGTTAGCGTTTAAACTACAATGTTATCTATTTGTTTCATATAATAATTTTATATACACATATAGAAATTAGTATAATAATTATAATTATAATTAGTATAATAAATAGTATAATAACTATTATAATATGAAAAGATCGTGATTTTGATCTGACAAGGAGATGCCACAACCTGCAATCGATTTCTGAACGAGACATAGCACGTTCGCTAGTTGCGATGTTAAACATCAACATTCTAATTGGGGTTTGTGCCAATAGACCTTTGTTTGTGAGAAATTACAGTATAAAGTTTGGGTTGCGGGACTGTATCCCAGATATGGTTAAAAATGCGACTGTCTTTCAGCGAGGTGGCGTGGCCAAGCAGACTGAGGCTTCCACGTCGAAAATTTTTGAGACGGCAGCGAGCATTCAAAACCCAGCGACGAGTTATTCTTGTGCGGTTTTTTTTTCTTATCTTAGGCATGTAATTAATGCTTTTTGAATATGATACATTTGTTTTGCATATGTCTCGTTTTTATGCTATTAATCAGGGGTAATTAGGAAAGTGTCAGGTTTTAACGCAAACACGAATATAGATACATATTTTGCATTGCTTATAATGAAATATATATTTTAGTACATCACTTGCGTATGAAAACATTGTATACATATGACAACATTGTCATATAATAAAACATTGTCATATAATAAAACATTGTAATATAATAATTCATACGCTATACATATTTTTCATTTTTTCGCAATGTTGTGGATAGATTCAAAATAATGCATTCATTGCATGCAGTTGGTGCAAACATTTATTATGTTTTCATTGTTTTTATACAGAATTCCATTTACAACATTGCGAAAAAATGAAAGATGTTTATAGCGTATAAGTTTTATTATATCACAATGTTTTATCATATGACAACGTTTTATTATATAACAATGTTTTATTATATGACAATATTTTATTATATGACAATGTTTTATTATATGACAATGTTTTATTATATGACAATATTTTATTATACGACAATGTTTTATTAAACGAAAATGTTTTATTATATGACAATGTTTTATTATATGACAATGTTTTATTATATGACAATGTTGTATACAATGTTTTCATGCGAAAGTAATGTACTAAAATATATATTTCATTGTAAGCAATGCAAAATATGTGTCTATATTCGTGTTTGCGTTAAACAAACCTGACACTTCCCTAATTACTCCTGATTAATATCATAAAAACGAGACATATGCAAAACAAATATATCATATTCGAAAAATATTAATTACATGTCCTAAGGTAAGAAAAAAAAACATCGCACAAGAAAACTCGTCGCCGGGATTCGAACGCTCGCTGCCGGCTCAAAGATATTCGACGTGAGAGCTTCAGTCTGCTCAACCATACCGCCTCACTGAAAGACAGTTGTACTTTAGCTATATCTGTGATACAGTCCCGCAACCCAAACTTTATACTGTAATTTTTCAGAAACAAAGGCCCGTTGGCACAAACCCCAATTAGGATGTTGATGCTTAACATTGTAGCTAGCGAACGTGCTATGACGCGTTCAGAAATCGATTTAGCAGGTTGTGGCATCTCCTTGTAAGTACACTGAGAACTGTTTTATAACTACGTAGTAGAGTAATAACCCGCACAACACAACGTCTAAAATCGAGACATAAGATGTCTCTAAAACGCCTTTAAAACATTTTACGTCTCGACTATAGACGTTGTGATACATGAGTATATTTGGGAAAATTTTTTATACTGTCTGAAAACATTATCTTTTGTATTCCTATTTCTTTTTTCTATTAAAACATCAAAATGTAGTTAGCGCAAGAAAGAATAATGTAGTTAGCGCAAGTAAAAAAGACAGTTTTATGCTTAGCAAGATAAACGTGAACATTATCATTTCTAATAGTGAAATATTAATGGCACATAAGAAGCTAACACGGATGTCTTAGTGCTATTAAATACTAATATAATTTTAATATTAATATGATTGTGGAAGGATAAAAATGTCCAGTATGTCAAACGCACATATCGATATCAAACGACAAAAACGAACAAAAAAGGTGGAAAAGCAAATACTACCTTGATATGGTAACAAACATGCCGCGACAAGAGGCAATTTCGAATTATGCCAATACCATACGTGAGAGGGGACTCTGGCTCAATGCCGGGGTCTCCCCTTTTCACGTTAATGACATGTCCACATTTGAGGGAAAACCACGGCCTTTGTTGCAAACTCGAATCGTGACGAGGTCACGATCGTACTGCGTGGAAGGCATGAGGAAGTGTAGACGAAGAGAGACTAAAAGGCGACTCAGTCATTCCTCTTGGCCTCCATCCTTCTGTAATCCCGCGTGGTGGCAACCTAGGATGCACTATACCGAGAACAGTCAACAAGACTGTTAGAAAGCCAAAGTGTTAGAAAGCACAATCGAATGACACGATAAGAGGCAACCTTGTATCATGTCAATATCATACGTGAAGGGGGACCCTGGCTCAGTGGCGGAGTCGCCCCCTTTCACGTTAATGACATGTCCACATTTGAGGAAGAACCGTGGCATCTGCTACAAACTCAAATCGTAACAAGGTCGCGACCATGCCACGTGAAAAACAAGAGCAAGCGCAGGCGAAAAGAGGCTGAAAAAGCGACTCAGCTATCCCTCTCGGGTGGCCTCCATCTTAATTGTAATTCGAGTGATAGCGACCAGAGTTGCATTCCACCAGAAACGGTCAAAAGACCGCCAAGGTATTAGAGAACATAACTAAACGACACGATAAGAGGCAACCTCGAACCATATCAATGCCATACATGAGGGGGGACCTCTCCCCCCTGGTTCAGTGCTGGAGTCTTCTCCTTTCACGTTAATGAGATGTCCATATTTGAAGAAGAACCGAGACTTCTTCTGCAAACTTGAAACGTGATGTGGTAATAGCTATGCTAAATGTGAAAATGGTGTCCCCGGTCTTCGCACCGAGAGCCTCTGTCACGTTAAGGCAGTAGCGATTATTACACGGGCGGGAAAGCTCGGGCAAAAGCTGTCTGAGCACGCTGTGGCCAATGTCGAATACACTCAATAGAAGGGCACCGAAGGGGCCCTAATTTAGTAAACGTGGGGGTAAAACACACCAACTCGGTTTAACTCGTGCACAAGCAGATTGGTAGTGGACTGGAGAAAGTGATAGCTAGAAAAGGAAACCGCTCAATCATCAAAAGATTCACCACGTGGCATCTAAAGTCTGCTTTTTGTAGTTCAACGGACTGGAAACTAATACTCCTAAAAGAAGTTAAAGTAATCAGGTAACAACAAGATCAGGCGCTCCTTGAGACGGAATAGAGGAGGAACAACTCAAACGGCTTGTTCCTCCAAAAGCCTACCTCGTCACTCAAGTGGCACCTCTATTTGAATGGACAAATAACAAACAGGACTCGAGCAAGATGAAAATCGCAGAGACAATCATTTAGATGTCAACATCAAGAGATGATTGCATACTGCCCGCTCCTCGGAAAAACCTAGGAGTCTCGCGAGCCAAAAGCTCTAAACAATGTGACAATACCAGGCGACTGGTCCACGGGCTGTAGAATCTGATTGGTCGCGCGGCTCCTCACCTATCGTCGGAATCCCACCGTGTGACGGTGCGGTGCCCGATGGCTGACCGCAAGTTTAAAAAACTAATGTCGAGACTTGAAATTGTCGCAAACGATTCACGCACCTGATAAGGTGCTGAACTCGATAGATTAGTCACCACGCTGTGTTTTATCGAGACCGAAATACAACACGAGAATTGGCCTTGTTGGCTAGACAGTATTCCCGTCACGTAGGAAACAATGCACCAAATAGGAAGTCTTAGATAGGCTAAAATTCTTTGGTAGGTTAGATAGGTCCTAAGCTAAGATAAGCTCGACCACTCGGTTCAATACAAATCGAGCCGACTGGAAAAGATTCGCTGAGAGTTTAATCGACGTGGCCAAGTCAAGGCTTGAGATGTGCATGCTGGCGTCTGCTAAGGACGTGGAGAAAATGGCAGGATCGCTAAACGAAACCATAATAGAAATTTGAGGAAACAATACCGAAAAAGGCGAGACATAAGAAGGCCACCCCGTGGTGGACCAAAGAGCTAACGCTAAAAAAGAAGGCCTTATATAGGAAGAGACGAAAAGCCAAACGTGAGAAGTCGACTCGTCTCCAAAAATTGCGTGAATACCGCTCATCTTTGTGGGAATACACCAAAGAGGTAGAGAAAGTCAAACTCAACAGTTGGCAGAAATTTGTCACGGATAAAGGCAATTCGGAGCCATAGGGATTTGCTTATAAACATCAGGCCGAAAGGCTTTGGATGGAAAGTGTACTAAGTACATTCCAAGACAATTATTTTTCGACAAAGGTCCTAGAGGAAACCGGATTCACAGGAACAGCGAAAAATCAGGGAAAAAACAAAAAAAAGTTCCTTATCAGCAGACGCCCCTCTTTTCACAGGGACAGAAGTAATCGTAGCAGCGAGAGCTTTAATAAACAACAAAGTATCAGGCTTAGATTTAATTTAGGTTGTAGTTCTAAAAGCAGCCATCAAGACAATCCCCAAGTCAGTTAGGTTATATAATGGATGCTTTCGGTGGGGTGTCTTTCCCTCGCCATGGAAGAGGGGTTCACTTAGAATCCTCCTGAAGGGCGAGAACATGGACGTGAAAGATCCAAAATCCTATCGTCCTATATGCCTCCTCTCCGTCATAGGGAAACTCTTCGAGAAACTTTTGTTGAAGCGTCTCACCCAGACATCAACGTCACCGGAGATAATCTCCGATCGGCAGTTCGGATTCACGCTCGGAAAGTCGACAAAGAACGCTATCGTGGAGTTGCGGCGGATTGTCTTCTCTTTAGGGAGGAGATATGTCATTGCGCTGCTCTTCCATATAACTGGTGCCTTTGACAATGTCTGGTGGCCCTTTGTACTAGACAACCTTAGGAAGTGTAAATGTCCGGCA